CACCTGCAGGGGACCCACAGCACCTGCAGGGGACCCACAGCACCTGCAGGGGGACCCACAGCACCTGCAGGGGGACCCACAGCACCTGCAGGGGACCCACAGCACCTGCAGGGGACCCACAGCACCTGCAGGGGGACCCACAGCACCTGCAGGGGACCCACAGCACCTGCAGGGGACCCACAGCACCCACCTGCAGGGGGACCCGCAAGATCTCGGGCAGCTGGTAGGGGGCCAGGTCCCCCAGACGGGCCCGCGGCAGGAGGCAGTAGTTGACCCCCGGGCGGCAGCGCCCCGCGCGCCCCCGCCGCTGCAGGAGCGACGCCCGTGACGCCCACACCTCCTGCAGGCGCGTGGCGCCCCCCACGGCGTCATAGCTCGTCTGCGGGCGCCGGGACTTTGTATACACAGACACGACTAACCTACACAGGCATATATACATAAACATACAGACTTTTATATGTTTACGTATAGATGGTATATGGTATAGATGGTATAGATCTCGTCTGCGGGCGCCGGGACTTTGCATACACAGACACGACTAACCTACACAGGAATACTTAGTCATATAGACTTGTATGTGTGTATGTATAGATGGATGAAACTTGAACTGTAACTATTTAATGTCATTATAGACGGCCTAATTACACGTAGCGGCCTAAGTACACGTAGCGGCCTAAGTACACGTCGCGGCCTAAGTACACGTAGCGGCCTAGGTACACGTAGCGGCCTAAGTACACGTAGCGACCTAAGTACACGTAGCGGCCTAAGTACACGTAGCGGCCTAAGTACACGTAGCGGCCCAGGTACACGTAGCGGCCTATGTACACGTAGCGGCCTAAGAACACGTAGCTGCCTAAGTACACGTAGCGGCCTAGGTACACGTAGCTGCCTTAGTACACGTAGCGGCCTAAGTACACGTAGCGGCCTAAGTACACGTAGCGGCCTAAGTACACGTAGCGGTCTAAGTACACGTAGCGGAAAGCTTTAAGTGCGGTAACCGGATTTTAAAAGAAATGTTAGCCACATTGTATATAATCTTAAAAATTAAAACTTTATGATGGCAATTATTAGGGCATTGAATATATGCGCTAAAAAGACACAAAAGTGTCTTACAACAGAGGGATATATATACAAGCTTCTCAGTAGCATATACACACTTTGTAAATAAGTCATGGTCTACAAAGTACTTAGAAATTTTGAGAGAACTTATGTGTTCATCTAATTATAATTGATGTTGAAGTCATTGTAATTAAAGTTAAAGCAATTGTAATTAATGTTGAAGTAATTATAATTAATGTTGTAATTATAAGAAATGTTCAATAATTAAAATATCTAATGAAATTAAATTAAATTAAATTATATTCAGTTAATTCAATGAAAATAAATTGAATTAATTACAATAATTAATATTAAAGATAACGTATCACCAAGGGGTCTGACCTCCTTAACCCTGGCAGAGTCGATAACGTAGACCACGTCGTCGATAGTGAGGCTCCCTAACTAAATAAACCCTCTCTAATTGACTTAATTACAATAATTAATATTAAAAATGATTTATCACCAAGGGGTCTAACCTCCTTAACCCTGGCGGAGTCGATGACGTAGACCACGTCGTCGATAGTGAGGCTGGTCTCTGCGATGTTCGTGGCCAGGACGATCTTGCGATACCCGCGGGCTGCTGGTGTGAAGACCCGCTTCTGGTCTGCCATCTGCGGCGATACATTACGTGGGTCTAGTCATAAGAAATTGGGTCTAGTCATGCAGAAAGTGGGTCTAGTCATGCAGAAAGTGGGTCTAGTCATGCAAAAAGTGGGTCTAGTGATCCTTCAAGAGGATCTAGCGATACTCCCAAAGAGGGTCCAACAATACTTGAACAGGGTCTAGCAATACTGCCATCTGTAACGATATATTAGGGTGATGTTCACTCATCACACCCCACGTCCCAGATCATTTAATATTAAGCTCTACCTGAGGATCGGGTTCTTCGTTGACTAAGGTAGTGAGGGATAAGTAAGACACATAAGTCCAGATAACGTATCTTGTATACGGGGTGGTAATACAGAGCAGTTCAGATAACGTATCTTGTATACGGGGTGGTAATACAGAGCAGTTCAGATAACGTATCTTGGATACGAGGTGATAATACAGAGTTGCGATACAGAAGAATAAGCTACGGCATCGACCGTAAGGTCGGAGAACTCTACCGACACGCTACATCGCGGAGTGCTCATCAGCAACTGGGGGCTTTGCTTAAGGTTGCTAGACTTTATATAAGCTTCGCTTCCGCCCACTACTACGGTCTCAAGGGCCTTGCTTAAGGTTGCTAGCCCTTTTATAAGCTTTGCTTCCGCCCACTACTGCGGTCTTGATCGCGTGATCTATCACGTGTCTATCAGATGTTGACTCGTCCTCAATCTCTATCAGGTCAAGTGAATATTACGTCACAATCACATACAATTAATGATTATAATGAGACGCCAGATCGACACCAGACGCACGCTAGTCACTCACGACACTCAAAGGCATTCTGGAGTGCAACACGCACGCTAGTCACTCATGACACTCATAGGCATGCTGGAGTGCAGCACGAACGCTAGACACTCACCACACGCCACGCACGCTAGTCACTCATGACACTCACAGGCATGCTGGAGTGCAGCACGTGTAGCGTGACGCGTGTGCCGCACGCTAGGTAGTCACGCTCACGCGCCTCTATGCCGTCACGCACCGCCACGATGCTGTCCAGGCCGGGGAGGAACACCAGCAGCGCCCCTGGGGGAGGAGTGGGAGAGGGGAAGGTGGTTAGGGGGAGAGGGGGAGGAGGTTAGGGGGATGAGGGGGAGGTGGCTAGGGGAAGGTGGGAGAGGTGGTTAGGGGGATGAGGGGGAGGTGGCTAGGGGAAGGTGGGAGAGGTGGTTAGGGGGATGAGGGGGAGGTGGTTAAGGGGAGGGGGAGGAAGTGAACAATTAAACTTGAACGTGGGTCAATTGGGTGGGGAAATTACCCCATGGAGAGGGGCAAGTCTTACTTAGTTCCCTAAGCTCGAATGGGGGCCCCACAGTCCACATACCCTTACTCGTGTCCCGCGACCCACCTGGCACCATGACCCACCTGGCACCATGACCCACCTGGCACCATGACCCACCTGGCACCATGACCCACCTGGCACCATGACCCACCTGACACCATGACACACCTGGCACCATGACACACCTGGCGCCATGACCCACCTGACACCATGACACACCTGGCACCATGACACACCTGCACCATGACCCACCTGGCGGCTGGGTGGTGTGGACGTGGTGGACGACATGACAGACGAGGTGGACGTCGGTGTGGTCGGCGGGGGTGGAGGCCAGGTACGCCTGCAGGCGGCGGTCGTCTTCCGCCGTAGACGCCGCCTCGCCCACCGCCATCCCGCCGCCCACCGCCATCCCTCCGGTGGCCGCCGCACAACCGCTGCCGCCCATGTCGTCCACCGCCCTGGGCGGACCAAAGGACGGGAAGGATCAGGGCTAAAGAATAATGTAACGGTAATAGTGGATATTATTACGAAAAAAACTGTGAATTGTAAATATTAAGTGCGATGTTTGTTCGTTTCGAATAGTTTCTAGTTGAATTTAAAGAGCCAAATTTTGCTAATCAATAATTTTATTGATTAAAATTTCTAAAATTAGATTAATCTGACAATTTAAAGAGCCAAATCTGTGTTAATCATTTGCGTTCCGTTGCAATTTGTCCTTAATTACACAGTAACAATTTGCTCTTCTAGGACTTCTAATTGTGAACAAAGGATAATAAATATGTACCTCGATATATGAATGGAAGAACTACGATGAAGATAAAAATATAATTTTATAATATGCCTAATATTATATACCTATATATATATATCAATATATATGTATCTATTTTATTATATTATAATATAATAATATATACCTTAATATATTTGAAGATAAAATAACTAATTAGCAGCCAGTGGCCGCCACTCACCCGTAGGACCGCAGGAGGTCGGCGGCCGCCTGGTGGTTGGTGGCCGCCGCCCAGGCCGCCGCCGTCCGTCCGTCAGCGGACCGGAGGCCCACCGTCGCCCCCGTCGCTAGAAGCGTCTCGACCACCGCCACC